TTTTTTTCAGGTAAGTAAAAAATATTTTCTCTGGTTGCCCCCCCCCACACTTTCAAAAACGATGCTACGTGCCTGCGATTTAAAGAAAACGGTCGCAGTTGGTCCTTTTATTCATGTTCGACTTATTACAAGACATTTTCAAAGACAAGAAATACCTTGAATTGGATGATCAGTACGTTTTTTGTCCTAATTATTATCATTACTATTATTAATTATTGTTGTTGTTTTTTTCATCAATGCGGTGATTTAATTTACCCTTTTGATAATTTTCATGAATATTTTTTTACTAGTCCCCAAGAAGGGGTAGGGGGCTCCCAAATCTATTTTGGTTGGTGAAGGTGTGTTTGGTGGATGTTAAGGTCCATGGATAGGTGGGAGCATTTCTTTATTAAACATTTTATTCCACATTAAAAGTAAATATTTACAATCAAAGGGGGTGTCCCTGTTGTCATTTCATGCACTCCCCCGTCTTCTCAACACCCAATCCTCACCCTCAGATTCTATGTGCCTGGATGATATGTTCACATGAGTGGAAATCATGATCAAGAAGGATATGGAGATAACGAACAGTATTCAATCTCAAAGTCCATAAAACAATACAAAATAAGAGCAGAGCAAACAAGGACCCCCGAAACAACAGAGGTGGGATCAGGTACCATGGAGGAGTGAGCATCCCCTGCCGACCGGTCACACCCGCCGTGTGCTCCTTGTCATGGTCAGGAAATAACGGAAAAAATCCGTCTTCAATTCAGTGTATAAATAATGGACTAACAATTGGTATAAAAACGTCAGTCAGCATTTGACTCAATGATAAATTGTATTTGCTGACAAGATCATTGTATCGACCATAGACCTTACGAAACGATGACTTTAAACGAGACTACTGATATTCTTGATTTATCAACTTGCTTGTCAATAATTTACCTCGTTTCAGAAGTTGTTCATACGTAGAGCATGCTCTTGCGTATCGAATCAACTGAGATATATGTGCTCCGTATGCAGGTGATGAAGGTATATTGCTGCATAAGTAAGGAAAGTTGATGTTAGAAAAGTTAAAGTCATCACATTTATCATATAGTTTGGTTGTTAGATTACCATTAGCGTCTTTTTCAAGCAAAATATCCAAGAATGAAACAGAAGTGTCAGACTCTGTGGTATCTTTTATCTCAAACTCACCAGGATATATCGTATCGACATAGGAATGGAAAGTGTTAATTAAAAATATATCAAAATAATGAGTTGAAGTCCACAGCAAGTGTTTTTTTTCTTTTCACGCTTAAGATTTTGCGTAAATTCTGCTTATGAATATAAAAATAAGTCTGCTAATAACGGAGCGCAATTTGTACCTATGGGAATTCCAATAGATGGTAGGAATACCTGGTCTCCAAAAACCACATAGATATTGTCAATCAGAAACTCAAGCATCTTCTTGATGTCAACTTCAGAGTACTTATGTCTGCAATCAGAATCTGTTTTAACAAAATAATTTTGCAAATGACCAATGACGAGGTACGTAAATTTACGAGTTCCATTTTTATTGAAGAAGCAGATGTCCATGATATCAGAAAGCCTGGATTTTAATTTGTCGTGGGGAATTGTTGTGTATAAAGTTGAAAAGTCGTAAGTTTTTAAGCTGGTGATTTTTGTAAAGTCTTGTGATTTCAAATTGTCCAATAGTTCTTTAGAATTTTTAAGTATCCACATCTGATTCACACCACTTCTTGAATAGTTGAACAGTACTCTTGAAGTTTTTCCTTCACTACTGTCAATATCTTAGTGAGGAGTAATGAAAGAGGCTTGGTTGAACATTTACTGGAAACCTGCAATGTATCTTTTTTTGTAAGGATTCTTATGAAGTTTCGGAATCCAGTATAAGGTAATTCAAATTCATTTTGGCTATGTGGAATATTAAAAGTATTCAAAACTGACATGTGATTTTGAAGAATTTCTTCCTTAGAAAGAAAGCTAATTAGAAGAAGCTAACTAGAAGTAAACTAACTTCCCAAGACTATAACTTGTATCCATTTTGGAATATATCAAAGTCAAATGTAGAAAAGTGCAGTTGAACAGAATATATATTACATGTATTAGTACATGTACTCATTTTATAACATTTTGAATCTAAACCAACCAAAAAAGAGGATTCTTACCTAGTGTATGTTATCTGTATCCTAGATGCATAGGGGTCGGAACTGGGGAGGGGGGCTTAGCCTCCCACTTTTTTTTTTTTAGCAAAGATAAACATTATAGGCAATAAAAATTGGGAGTTACCTTTTTTTGTTGGTTTAACTACTTTCACCTTCAATTATTCCCCCCTTTTAAATTGATTCCCACGCCTATGAAATATACATGCTCTTGCTATTTAAAAGATAAGCCGGTATATTAGTATTCTCACTAAGGGGGGGGGTTTAATAAAATGTTATGTATTCGTAAAGTCTGCCAAGCCGCGGTCAACTCGCCCGACTTGGACATTTTAGCTCACCTCGACGAAGTCGAGATGAGTTTATGCTATACGCCCGGCGTAGGCGTCGGTGTCGGCGTTAGCGTCGGCGTCCCGGTTAAAGTTTTAGGAGCAGGTCCATTCCCAAGTAACTATAAGACCTTCCAAGACCAAACTTGCATGGATGATGCATCTAGGGATGGACACTATCAGAATAGCTTTGGATGCTGGATCTGACCTACATTTTTCAGATGGATGACCAGGTTAAAGTTTTGGAGTAGGGCCATTCCCAAGTAAATATCAGCCCTACCCGGACTAAACTTGCATTCATGATGCATTTAGAAATTGACACTACCAGAATAGCTTTGGATGCTGGATCTGACCTACATTTTCCAGATGAGTGACCATGTTAAAGTGTTTGGAGCAGGCCCATTCCCATGCAAGTAACTACCATATAAGTGGAAATTTTAGCGAGACGCAATTTAGCGATTTATCCTTAAAAACTTATTTATTTTTAGCTAGATGTTATATTAGCGATTTTAAAATGAAAATTAAATAAGCAATTACAAATATAACGCAACTAATTTTTAGCGATATTTAATTTAAGCGATCTCAGCACCCTCGCTAATAATGCCAAAATTAAATCCTCGCTAAAAATTCTACTTATATGGTATAAGCCCTACCCAAACCAACCGGCATGGATGATGCATCTAGGGATGGACATTACCAGACTTCTTCGGATGCTGGATCTGAGTGACCTACATTTTCCAGATGAGTGACCAGATTAAAGCGTTTGGAACAGGTCTATTCCCAAGTAATTATAAGCCCTACCCTGACCAAATTTGCATGGACGATGCATTTAGTAATGGACACTACGGTAACCACACTTGCTTCAGATGCTGTACCTACATTTTCCAAATGAGTGAGAATGTTAAAGTTTTTGGAGCAGGTCCATTCTCAAGTAACTATAAGCCCTATCTGGACCAAACTTGCATGAATGATGCATCTAGGGATGGACACTACTAGACTTGCTTCGGTTTATGGATCTGACCAATATTTTCCAGATGAATGACCAGATTAAGTGTTTGGAGCAGGTCCATTCCCAAGTCACAGTTACTATAAGCCTTATCTGGACTAAACTTGCATGGATGATACATGTGTTCCATACATAAATGAAAACAATTCTAAATGGGGAAAATTCTTCTCTTTTTTGGAATCTGGATTTCAGTGACACTTTAAATAATCTGGTGTGCACAAGACGATATACATTTTATAATAAGAATGGTGACACCGAATTTTTTTTAACTTTTACTTTGGGATATCTTTTGAACAGTAGATACCAGGACATTTATACTTCACATATGTATGATTTGTTGAAAGACCTTTCATTGGATACCAACAACCTTGACCTTTTGACCTAGTAGATATCCGTACTTGTGCAAAAACTTTAACCTTGGCCATAACTTTTGAATGGTAAGGATTACGGCTGTCATACTCAATATATGTAATACTTGTGAGGAAACTCTTCATTGGATACCCAGAACTTTGACCCTTTGACCTTGACGTTTGACATACTTTAAAAAAGCAGAGCTTGACAAAACCTTTTTAAAGGTTTAGGGCTAGTGCTTTCATACCTTAAATATTTAATCCTTGTGACAAGACCTTTCATTTGATAGCAACAACCTTTGACCCTATGACCTTGGAGTTTGAACTACTTATTAATTTCTTTAACTTTAGCCATAACTTCTGAACGTTTAGGACTTGGGCTTCCGTACTTTACAAACGTAATCCTTGTGGCAAGACTTTTCATTAGATACCAATTACCTTGCCCTTGATTTTTGTACTTTCGTATGAAAAAAACTTTAACCTTGGCCATAACTTTTGAAAGCTAAGGGCTAGTGATCTCATACTATACATATGTAATCCTTGTGAAAAGACACGTCATTGGATACCAAGATTTCCAAACTCATGAAATTTTTTTACCCTGGCCTGATTTTATATTTCCGAGCTGTATTTCCAGTGAGTTTTTATTTAAGAAAAGTTTAATCTCTGCTAATTTGTTGCCATACGGAGACATCCATGATTCACAAACACATCTTGTATTATTTCGAAAAATGATGTAGCCATAAGTATAAATAATTTTCTGCAAGGTTACTCAAATTTCTCCAAAAACTCAGCCTTGTCACTTAGCCCTCTTTTTAAAGTACAATTGCCATCATGGGTCCAAGTTTACTTCAAATGCAGTTAATCGGTGACTGGCTGAATGAAATACAGGGATACACACCTGATATTCTAAATAAAATCAAGTTGTCACTATCCACTTTAAAAGTACATGTATTGAAGACAGAATTGCTCACTTTTGAAATCTATGTAAATTGGAAATTAAATTCACCTTTTTGTTGCATTTATCATTACTCCATCTAACCCCTCCAACTAAATAAGTGGATTTTGTACATGTATTTAAATGCATTTAAAAGCAATTTTCATTTATCAAATATCCTGATCCTCTCAGTTTGTAGCAGTCATTTGAACTACGTCTTTATAAACACATACAACAAGATGAACTTGGATTATTTATTATGTCATTTTATCAAAATCATCATATAGAAAATCTGAAAATGGTTATATTATTACAAATAAAAAGAAATTAACCAATTTAAAATGACACGTGCAAATGTATAAATTACAAATGCAATAGATTCATCCTTCCATCAAGTTTCATTCCAATGAGAACCAATTCGAAGTACAATGTCAAATGTAACTACAACTCATCTTTTTTTTTATGTAGTCATATTTAAGGAATCACTGTCTAGTTAGTGAAGTATGCCAGGGCATCAATGATAGTGGGAAACATGGGATTATTTGCATGACGAGGCCCTTTATGCATAAATTATCCCATGTTTCCCACTATCATTGATGTCCCTAGAATACTATACCAACTAGACAATGATTCCTTATACCGTATAAGTAGAATTTTTAGCAAGGATTTCATTTTGGCATTATTAGCGAGGGTGTCAAGATCACTACAATTGAATATGGCTAAAAATTAGTTGCGTTTTATTTGTAATAGTTTCTTTAATGTGCATTTTAAAATCGCTAAAATAACATCTCGTTAAAAAAAATTTCCAGTTTTTAAGGACAAAACGCTAAATTTGCGTCTCGCTAAAATTTCCACTTACACGGTATTTCCATTTCATTGTGGAAAAAAAATTGTAGATTTAGACTTTAAAAACGGAGACAAACACAAAGGCAGCCACACAAGATTTGCATGCATATTTGGCCTCCTTAGCTCCTGACCTATCAACCTGCCTAGTTTACATTTCGGTAGAATTATCAAGAAATCAACTCCTCTAACTTTCAAAGAGTTATCACAGAGAAAAAAATTTAGAAATGAAATATTATAAATTAACATCAACCATATTTTTAAGAATAATAGATAAAATTTTTAAGAGCTTTAAAAAAAATTTAGTCTTAAGTAAAAGCTAGATGCCCAAATTGACAAAAAAGCCTAACAACTTCAATCATTTTAACAAATTACTTCCTGTTCACAAAACTACTAACAAATCATCTAAAGTAACTAAAAATATCACTTTAACAAACTACAAAGAGACTACCAATAAGTCACTTCAAAAAACTAAAAGTGAACTACATGAACAACACTGGGTGAAAAGTCCAGTTTCCGCAAAACTGAAACTATATGGAAACCTTGCTGAAACTTGGCGTTGAAGTTTCCTGTATGGTTTCCGCAATGCGGAAACTATATAATAGTTTCAGCAAGTTTCTGTAGGGTTTCCGTATGCTGAAACTATTAGGTTTGTTTCCAAATAGTTTCCGCAAAACGGAAACCAATGTAAAATTTAATGAAATGTCAATTTAACGATACTTTTTAGTTTCAGTAGGTTTCAGTTTCCGGAAACTATTGATTTCGATTCCATATGGTTTCCGCATGCTGAAACCGAACTGAAACTTTTTCTTTTCTTTTTTTTCAAATGGGTAAAAAAATCAATTCAAATGATTTTTTTACTATTGATTTCGATTCCATATGGTTTCCGCATGCTGAAACCAAACTGAATTTTTTTCTATTATTTTTTTATTCAAAAGGGTAGAAAAATCAACTCATATTATCTTTACTATTGATTTTGATTCTGTATGGTTTTCGCATGCTGAAACCAAACTGAAACTGTTTTTTATTATATTTTTTTTCAAAAGAGTAGAAAAATCAACCCATATCATATTTCTATTTACTTATACATTTTAAAAAATGGTTTATTTTTAAATACCAGATATCTACTAGTTCATATTCAGATTTTGAGAATGATGTGCTCTGTGTAAACTGACACATACCGATATTGATATCAATGATAAGCACTTTATACAAGATCCTTGCTTCATATTAATTTATTTCATATATATTGTGCTGGAATTAAAAAAATATCATTTCTAAACAAAATCGATTCCTCTCCCCAGGATTTTCTACATTACCCAACTCGAGACCCCCCCCCCCCCCCCTCGGGAATTAATTCTTTTCATAACATACATTATTTTCACAAAATATTACTTCCGTATGAGAACAAATCAAGGGTTATTTATGGAGGTTCCTCTGTCTACAATTACATTTAATTTTAATTTGTTTAAAAAAGAAAATTAGTGTGTCTTCATGGTGCATGAAATACAGATAATTACGAGAGCGAACGTTTACATTATCTGAGATAGCAAGTTTTGCATTTATATTCCTTATACATGTATCTATATTACTGAATGGAAAATTATCATTTCAAACATAGATATATAGTGCAATAGTTACTACATTGTAGTTGTTTTTATAATTTAATACATTGATTTAATATCTCGTACATATATGCATTTTTATCTCCGTTCTCATGAATACATTTTATTCGTTTAACAGGCGTTAATCTTATTCGAAAGCCGCGGGTAAATATTGCAAGAAAACATGTCCTGAACATTTGATGCCATGGTTCTTAAGATCTGCAGCATATTATGTCAATCTAATTAAAATTAAATCGTCTCATTTGTTACCCAAATGCTTATTCGCACGAGGAAGACTTATTAATGTAAAAAGTCTGTTTTTGTGAAACAATACCCTGGGAGCGAATGGAAGATCTCATTTTAATTAGATTGCAAATTATGTGTAGGCTTTTTTATTTATTTATTATTTTTTTTTTTCAAATATCTTGCTTTTGTGATGTTAATGAATGCAATATTACTGAAAAGGCGGTACCTATACTTTTTAGTAATATGTTCAATTATATTCGTATTGAGATATATAATTTTCTAAATTTGTGATTTAGAAAACACTTTTTTTTTTAATAAAAGTAGTATGTAAGTTGATCAAATTTTCAATCCTTTTCTTTGAACCCCACTCGCGGGCACCTGTCCTCACGTGCCACAGGTGAGGAGACACGTGTCGCGAAGACACCTGCTACCGTGTTGGTGTATTTTTTGTATATTCTATGTGGATTGAGAGGTTTTTCTACCTTAGAGGAACAATGGGCTGTGACCAGGCGTAATATATACATGCAGTACCTGGTATACACAGTATAGTCACTAGTAATGACCCCAAGGTGTCTGAACATTCAAATTTTAAAAATAAAAAAAATCCAACACACACTATATAAAACTTCACCTAAATCAAACAAATAAGATTGTTTTATAAAATATTTTATATAAAATGTTTCATATAAGCTATTAAGTTTATTATGTGTTGGTGATTAAAAGGGAAAAAAAAAGAAAAACCTCTCAGATATTTATCTATAGATCAATCTAATAAATAATAAAACTAATCTACAGGTAAGGAGAATATTTGCTAGTTCAATAGACTATTAAAAAAATTTCAATATTATTTTACAATTTCTCCACAAAGAAATCGGCAATCACAAAAAAAAACGACAATTAATGGTATTCCTTGTTTGCCACCATTGTATTAACTTCAAATATTGAAAATATTTAGAGATCGATGACACGCAACCTAATGAAAACAAAGTCTATGAATTTTATTTCATAACTTTTTTCTCTAGGTTATTTCTAAGTACACAATAAAACAACGTTTTATTTCTAATTTAGAGTCCAAAACAGAAAAGTGTGAGGTTATTACAATAATAAGGAAAAGATAAAAAAAAAGATAAATACATTTAGTAAACAACAATATAAATGACATGTGTAAAGGACTATGACCACTATTACATGATATCATTTATAAATTTGCCCGCAAAATTAAGAGTTTCCGTATCTTCTGTATTGAGTAATAACCAATAATTTTTTGTTCATCATCTAATGCTGAGAAGTAGCGGTATTTACTATTTTAAAATTGTACATGTAGATATTTTCTGAGATGGAAATTTTTAACAATTGATTAATAATTCTTATAACTCCAATTTTGCTTTTGAGTTTCACAAAGGTATAAAAAGCAATACCAGAGAGAGACAGAGACAGAAACTCATACAACACATTCTAATATAGTTTGTAATTATTTTCTTCGTTTTATTTAAGTTACGAAGGTCAAAATTAATCATTATATAATTCACTATATAACAATGATTATAAACTTACATGTACTTTGTTAATTTATCTATTCTATTTTAGGACACAAATAAAAATGTATCCCGTAGATTAAGATTTTAAAAAACATATAAACATAAATTTGCAGACTTGTTATAAAGTTTTAACCAGCTAATTCGTATCGCTTATTAGAAAGGGGGGGGGGGGGTAAAATCGCTCTTGTATGTGGATAATATGCCATCAGCATAACTTTGATGACTTGTATACTTTTTTTTACACAATAATCTAAGTACATGTGTATATGATTTTCAATCTATTTGTAAAAATCTGGACAGTCCGTTTCAACAATTACCATCATCATCATCATAATGATAACCATGATAATAAGGGACTTAAAATACGGTTTTATACCCAACTTCGATTCCATGATCAATTTTATTTAAGCATTTAAAACTGACAGGTTCATTCAGTTGTCATAAATGCAAGGACGTCTGCAATATAAAACGTAAAAAAAAATATTGCCAAAAGAGATATGCAAAAACTATTATAAAGGTGAATTTTCCGTAGAGACTGACATTCAATCACTAGGTGGCGTATCGCGATAGAATGCTTCTCTCTCATTGGTTAGATTTTTAGTAGAAGAAAGAGGGACAAAATGGCGAAGAAAACACCAAGAACTTGCTCAAGAAAAACAACAGAGATGAGAAGGTTTTTTGACTCTACACAGAAGAAAGGCACCTCAAACGACAGCTTAGATACAGGTAGTTATTTCTTACAGTTCAGAGCACCTTTATTTTTGTTTTTATTGTCTGCAATCGTAAGAATAAAGTTGGGTCAAAACGGCGCGTTCCAAAAATTCAAATCGACCATTGTACAGTTATAATTATTTTGAAAAAGCGCCTTGTAAATCATTCTCACCTTAGGTTGTAATACGGATAATTAATTGCTGTTAAAACGGCCGCATGCATTTTGTACCAATGTATTTATCTTGCATGTTTTCGTATGATTATTAGAATATGTTTTTCTGCATCGTCCCGATCATGTTAAAAAAAAAATACGTGTTGTAGTATTCCGGAATTTTAAATGTAGGTTGGTTTTAGAGGATAATATCGTTATGAACTTGTATCCGGTGTTTACTTTTTCGGAAAATCGAAAGATTTGCCCCCACGCTTATGTTCTTTCAGAAAAGGTGAGCTTTTTGTTCATTATAACTGCTGGATGTGTTCATTGTTATTCGCAGGAGTAGTTTCTTGAATCCTACATTTATTTTTTGCTGAATTGTTTTTATTATTGATGGAAGACTGTGCTGCACAGCCGAGGAAGGGGTTGAATATATTTTAGCATACATGCAGTCTAGAATCGTAAATATTAGACATGTTAGAGGGCATCATGTTGGGAGAATGCCATTGTGTAGTACTGTATCACTGTGAAATGCCAATTTGTACATGTGTATAGTGATGAAAGTAAAATTCCTGAGAACTTGCAGATTTTGTGATATGAAAGTGACTTGATAATTTTCAGAATGCCTCACATTATTCAAGTTGAAGTATTTTATTAAGTTTAATACCATACATTATGAGTTTGAAACATTGTCATACGTGAACAAAATAGTTATACACAAAGATACATAAACATCATGCTGACACATGTGCATGTTTTGATCTATATGAAACAATTAACACTATTTTAGCAACTTAAAACTTGATTTACCGGTAGTGTGCATGGTGTAATTGTTCATTAGAAATACCATGTTTTTATTGTACCTTGTGTATTAAATGTGGTGCAGTTTCTAAATACATCAGAAATCACAACCATAAAAATGATTCTCTTGATATGAACAGAACAGTTTTTACCTGAAGTATGTATTATGATAGACTGGAGCTTGATGAAATGGGCAATTGGCCATTTTCAATTTCTTATGTTACATGTATTGATTCATTATACAGTCATATACTTGTATTTATTTGTTACCCTTTAGAGAACTTTTTATTAATGTGGACACGTCACCAACACAGGTCTCATCCGAGGGACCAGTCTCTATGTACTACATTGGATTCAGACTCTTGATGTAGGAATCAGCTCTTACTCCCCAACTCTAGGCGTGTCGCTCTAACCACTGGCAATGTGAACCATTATGAAAATTTGACATACTTTTATGATCTCTAAATTTTATTGACTTGATAAAATGACTGATACACAAATAAGATTTTTGTAATCTCTCTGTAAGGTTTATAGCTGTTTACCATTTGCCATATTTCTATCACTAATTAAATCAGCTTTCAACAATGGCCACTGAAGAGTCCTAGTTCTGTGTTATTATACAAATGATCTTCCCTTGATGTAAAATAGAATATTAAATAAAATTAATTATCAAATGAATTATAATTTTGAATCGGAGAAGGCCTACATATCTTAAACAAACATAATTTAGATGTAGTCTTGCTTTTATGGAAAATTATTACTTATTTAATTTTTCTCACTCTCAGATATAATTGCATTTCAAAATCTTGTAAATTAAGGTTGTGATAGCCTGATAGGTCTGCCACTTAGAATTAGACCAGAGTGTGACTGTGTCCATTTTAAAATGATACAATTTCCAATTATTTTTTTTCTTTGTCATGTGTCCATTAGAATTTTCACTGCATGTCAGGTGCAAGGAAATGGGCATGCAAGTAGTTTTTGGGACTTTTCTGAGCTCATGCTAAAAACACAAAAGTTATTACTGTACGGTACTGTACTAACTCGATCTATTTTAATTTCAGATATCCATGGAACAAATCATCTGAAAACTAAGAGAGGATGAAGAATACTTCTGTTAAAAAGTATGTTTTAGTAGTAAGAACTTATGTAACTCTATTTTAGGAAATTAAGGACTAAAGCACAAAGTTTATGTTTTTATTTTCTATTGTTTTCTTAATCTCACTGTTTAAAGCTCTCTATTTATCATAGTCATTGGTTGTCAGTGTGTGTTGTGGGAGAGGGGGGGGGGTGTAAGCTGCTTTCCTCTACTTTTTAAGCTTTATATAATATCTTTATATGTTCGGCATTTCCATCAAATTAACAGATGTTAACATTTTCTTAGAAAGTCTCATTTTGCGAGCTAACTACTAAAATTCTCTGATTTATTTAAAATAAGTATTTATAAACAGGCCTATTTTTAGGTCACCTTAGTAAACTCAGGTGACCTATTACTATCTGTTTTTGTCTGTCCTGTGTTGACATTTGAACATTTTCAGATTCTTCCTTGCAACCGCTCAACCAATTTCAACCAATTTTGGTACAAAGCATCTACGGGTGAAGTGGATCAAAATTTGTAAATTTTATGATACCCCCCCCCCTTCTTTTTTACTCCTGGACATCAAGCAGTCAAACTGTTGGCATGATTGAAATGAGCACTTAGTCATCTACCATAATTATAAAATTCATGGCCCCAAGGTCAGGGGTTTTAGTACTAGGGTTGGTCCATATAGCTCTTTGAAATTAATCAACCATTTATGATGAAATAAAACTTAAGATAACATTTAGAAAATTTTGAAATGTGTGGCCCCAGGGTTAGTGGTTCCTGTGGGGTGGGGTACACAACTGGTGGTTTTAAAATGGAATAGCATTTTATCTTTATTACTCTGATCCACCTTTGGTTACTGAGTAACCAGAGTAAGCATGTTAAGTGTATAATTATGATAAACAATGGTGCGTCTTTCAAAATTTGGAATTTCATGGCTTTTTGTTTAAAACACGAACCAAATTCAATTGAGTGAAAGTTGTTACATGATACCTATTAGGTCTATGGGCCTGTAGTTGTTATTCAAATAAAAAAATATTTTGATGAACAAGTAGAATGAAAGAAAATTCCTTAATTTATTCTGAAAATCAGGAACAAATCTATACATACATATTCAGGTACATTTAATATGTTTAAATAAATTCAAGTTTGTTTATTTCATTATCCCTATTCAAGTGTTTAAAAGAGGCATCTTTAATAAACTAATGATATTTTACACTTGATAAATTTTTAGATTTCATTTTAAATCATTCTGATAAAAAAAAATGCTTAAAATGTGAAATTAATCAAACAAAAGCTTGTACTAGAACAGCATTAGGGACTTTGTCCATCCAATTAATATTAAATGTTAGATACTGCCTAAATCTAACAACATCCTGTAGAGTGTCACGTCAGAGGTCAAATTCTATTAACCAATAAAATAGTCAACTGCAAAATTATTGTATTTCATAAATTGGAACGAATAAGTCTAGAGTTGTTCCGTATTTGACATCTGACGTGACCTTCTATGGGATGTTGTTAGATGTTGTGTAGCGAGTATGCGAGAGGATCTAACATGTTTTATTTAGATTGGAATTTTGTTAAACTATATTTATATATATTTTCAATAGGTTGAAGTAACTGATGAGCAGATCAATCCAACTTGAACATGATATCATTTCTCCAATGATGAAAACAAGTCTCTCTATACTCAAGCATTGATATTTTTAAAGTCAACTGAAACTGGAACAGGTCATACATGCAGACTACAGTGATGTGTTGCACAGTTCCGAAAACATACAGCCACCACTAGCATAAGCATGATAAGTGTAAGTGGGTCATCAAAGAATGAGAACCACTCAAGGACTTTTCTGTTGGTTGATGATGGACTACAAACTGAATTTTTAACAAAGGAATCCACCTTGGTGCTTATTGGCTACTTATGATGTGAACTTGTGCATTTATTATACCAAGTAATTTTACATTTCCTTAATAATACTAGACTTGCATAAACCGAATTCAGGTTAAGTTGATTGATTGCAGTAATGCAGTTCTAAGTTCCTCTCGCAAGATTATATCTCTGATGTATGAGACATCATTAAATGCAGACATTTTCTCTGTCCTCCTGTCGTGACTTGAGGGCTCGGACTTAGCTGTAAAAATGTTTATGATGCAAGAGAAAAATGTTCAACCGATGTATGTAAATGTTGATAATAACATTAAATATTCTTTGATAACTAGTGTTAGTGTGTTGTTGTTTTTTCCAATATGAGAATTCAGAGGGAAAATGACTTTTGGTTGCAAACCAGGGCTAAAATTGTGTAGTCAATACTAAAGTTTCCGTTGCGGAAACCTACAGTATACCCTATGTATATCAATATTGTAAACGCATACTGAAACCTTGCGTATACCTCAATTTTCAGCAAGTTTCTGTTGCGGAAACCATTGGTAAACCATATGTATTTCAACTGTATACACATACTGAAACCTTGCGTATACCTCAAGTTTCAGCAAGTTTCTGTTGCGGAAACCATTAGTAAACCATATGTATTTCAACCGTATACGCATACTGAAACCTTGCGTATACCTCAAGTTTCAGCAAGTTTCAGTTGCGGAAACTATTTGGATTCGTGGACACCTTTGGTTTCCGCACTGCGGAAACTTGATGAAACTTGAAGTTTCCGCACTGAAACTTTGCAGAAACTATTAGTAACCTTAAGTTTCCGCAGAGTTTCAGTAGAGTTTCAGCCATGCGGAAACTGTATTTTTCATCCAGTGCAAGAACCTCTTACATTTGTACAAATAAACATATCAATACACTAATAACAAATTCCTTAACACTATCAAATCACTTAAACTGAAAACAAAAATCACTAACAAAATAATTACAAAACACTCTAACAAATTAAAAACAATCACAAAACACTTCAACTTATTACAGTGTTTGTACATGTAAAAACAAAACACTTACAAAATCCTACAATATTCAATAAACTAAAAACAAATCACTTGACAAACTACAAACAAATCATTAATATTAACAAACTACAAGCATATCACTTGAACAAACTAGTTTGACATAAGATAAACACACTACAGTAAAACTCATTTAGTACAAACATGGATATACTAGTGAATTCACGGATACAGCGAAGTTTTTCTGGGTCTACGGCAAAATTCTTAACAAATCTTTGTAAAATTTTACAGTAATAACGAACTCTGTTATAACAAATTAACGAATATAGTGAACTGTATTGAGTCCCGTTGAGGTTAAATATATTAAAATTTACATCTTTTATAGCGAACTTTCAAAGATTATAAAAAATTGATAAATTGAACTGGCTTTATCTCTTTTTAGCTTTTGTATATAAAATTCAATTCATAATATAACCCTGGTTATCAAAGAAATGTTTTGTAATATTTGCTTCCCTAACCTATTTAAATTTGGTACTAATACTTGAAGGAAAACATGCATATGGCGAATTTGGTATAATGGTTATACGAATTCGTTATTCGGATATAACGAATTATGAATGTAGCGAATTAATTTTAACAAATCACTTCACAAACTTCTAACAAATCACTTTAAGAACAAATCATTTAAAATTACATGTACTTATAAATTCATAATTAAATAACAAATCACTTCACAAACTTCTAACATACAAATCAGTTAAAAAATCTAACTTACAAATCACATAAACAAACTGCTAACCATATTACAGTACTTTAACACACTACTAAACAAATTAAATTAACAATAACACACTACTAACCAATCTCTTCAATAGACTGCTTTAAAAATTCACAAACAAATCATTTCAATAAATTACTTACAAATCAATCCAATAAACTACTCACAAGTCATTAATTAAATAGTACATTTCTAGAACAAAAGACTATGGAGATAAAAAACACTTTTCCACAAATCTTTAAAAAGCAGTGTTTAAATGATTAACTATAGTATCAAAGTCACATTTAGTCACATAGTCACATTTAACATTGTATCACAGTAATTTATATTAAATATTCATATGAAATTTATGGAATGACAAATTTTAACATCTCAAAACAGCGCAACATTCCATCATTAATTTTTAAAACAATGATTTCTTTTTGTAAAATATATTGAGATGCTGCAGTTCCTTTGGCTTAGATTTTTTCCCCAGTCACTGGTCACATATCATGTTCACCAACCTGACTCATAATTTCATTTGGAAGATGCTGAAATATATTTAAGATGTTCAATAGATATATTAAGCATATATACATGCATATTGATATTTCAATATATTCTTCTTTGATAAAATGTCATTTGAATTGTTTACCAATTTTTTTTAGCTCTTGTGATGAGTTGGTTAGAGACTTACAAAATGTTATAAAACACACCGCTTTATTGATTAATAACCTCTATAAGAGACCATTTTGGAATTCTGCAACAGCATACCACTTGAAACTGAAGATCTTCTAGTCAATCTAAAACAGATAATAAATAATTTTATAATCTTTTAAAATGTTTATACCAACATTTAAAAACGATTTTTTAATTATTTCATTCACATCCTAACTATAAAAATTTAAAGAAGGTGGATAAAAAAAATAAAAGAGTAATAAAAGTTTAAGGCGTACTGTCTAGCATTCAGTTGAAATGAGTGATTAAAGTAGCTGATATGATCAATGCTGGAAACTGGAGAAATTCTCCCAAACTGTCATGAATTAGACCTTTTTTGCATTACAGGATCTTTATTTATCTTAGTTGTTTGAATATATTAAACATTCAGATGTCTATCCATCAGAAATGCAATAATATTGATTAATCTGTATTATGTCTTAAAGGTGAATTTAGACACAGCTTGGGCATGGCTAAGGCAGGAAACTCTTTTTTAAAACCTGTATGGGATCTGCACGTCCAAGACACAGATTCTGAGTCTGAGAGTGAGGAATCCTCACTCGTAGAAACCCATGAGCATGCTTAATCATAACTTTATTTTAATATTAATTTGGAGGGACTCATGGTCACAAGCATCTTCACTAGCCAAGGGTTTCTGAGACACTACTCTCCTCATGAACCCTTGGCATATGGTGAAGTCAAAAGACCCTTAGAGGATATTGTTTTCATCATGTGATCTCAAATTTAACATTGTCCAGGTATGCATAGATTGCATCGACAGAAATAAAGAGGCATAAGAGGTGAAACAATTAAATAAAAGAGTTTCAGGAATAATTTATAAGCAATTATTGATATGTTTATTTAAAGTTTACAACTACAGCTGCTATGATATAGATTCTTAGTTGTCATTTATTGAAGATATATTGGACAACACCAGATGGCTATATTTATTATAGAATTGCATGTTATCTAATGGATCATTATTTACTTAAATTTTTCATTTCTGAAATTAAAGAGTCAAGATATATCCTGAACACATATAGCATCATTTTACCAAAAACAAAAAACAAAAAAACAACCAATTGCTGATTAGTCGAGGGGTGTTGATTGACTTCAATTAAAACTGGAAGAAAAAAAACCCAAGCAATATGAGCTGCATGTTTGACATCAGAAAATCTTATTGCAAAATTGTAATTAATTAATTTAATGACAGAAAATAAATCATATATAATCTTCTGTTGTTCATATTTGCCAGGGAAATTTTTTTATTAGCTTTGATTAAAGCAAATTTGAATTATTGTCGTCCTGTGCAATAATGATTTCTTATATAAAACTGTATATTCGGTTAAAAAGAAATATTTCTTCTGAAACATTTAAAACTTTATTTTGGGCTTATTGGTCATAAGGGTTTAAATTACGTACAAATTAATCATAAAAGCACATTTTACCAGCAAAATAAAATTTTCAAAGATACAGCTCATATTGCTTTAACACTGTAACTATGTCAAGAGCTTATAAGGAGAGTAGTGTATCAGAAACCCTTGGCTAGTGAAGATGGATTATGAGCTAAAAAGGTGTCTTTTTTACTCTAATTAAAGTTTATTTAACTAATTTTTTCATCTGTCTGTCTAAATGGTGAATGACTCCTGTAATAATTTTTCTTTTTCACACACACTGATCACTTCATCAAATTGATGCACATTCTTGCAAGGAATATGTCATACTGGAAGTATTTTTAGCAATTTAATACATATGTAATACCCTTTTTTGCTGAAGAATAGAAATTTGACAATTTAGAATTTACACTATCTTAGGATGCTTCCAAATAAGTTTCAGCTTTTCTGGTACATAGGTTCTTGAGAATAAGACTTTTAAAGGTTTTTCTATATATTTTTACATAAAACTTGGATTCGCTATTGTGGCCTCGGCCTACCCATGTGATTCATGAATTAAACAATTTACACTACCCAGGATGCTTCCAAATAAGTTTCAGGTTTTCTAGCTCATTTTTTCATCCCCCCATCTTTGTCTTTTCTTGATTATCTCCCCTTGTAAGGGGACTTGGCCATCCATTCTAAGAATTTAAACTCAACTTCACTCAAGAATGCTTTGTACCAAGTTTGGTTAAAATTGGCCCAGTGGTTCTTGAGAATACGTTGAAAATGTGAAAACTTTACAAACGGATGTACAGAGGGATAGATGACGGACAAAGGGTAATGAGAAAAGCTCACTTAAGCTTTACTGGAGTTATTGTAATTCAGGGTCAGGTCATTCAACATCTTCAATGACAAAGTGAAATGAGTACCCCACTACCAAAGGTGAGGGTAACGGGATTGATTCTCAACAGTGGATTGGAACATTTAATTTCTTTACATGATAAACAAGTGGCCCAGGGGCCACATCGCTCACCTGAGCAACTGGCTAGGAAAAAGCAAAAATTAGTTCAGTATATATTAGAAAAATGGGTTCTGGGCAGGGGAGGGGTATTTAAACAAATCTAAACTTCCATAAAATGCTTTTGTGACACATGGTTTTGTTGTTTACAAGACGAAAATTTTTAATGATATAGCCTATGTATTATTTTGTCTACTTTAATATGGTCTACTATATGTGATTGTCGATTACAGCTGATTACAATTACTGATTACGATTACCCTATACCCTACCCCCGGGGGTAATGATTTGAAGAAACTTGAATCTACACTACCTGAGGATACTTCCACATGAGTTTCATCTTTCCTGGCCCAATGGTTCGGGAGAAGATTTTTAAAGATTTTTCCTATATATTCCTATATAAAACTTTGATCAGCCATTGTGGCCCCGCCTCACCCCCGGGGGTCATGATTTGTATAAACTTGAATCTACACTACCTGAGGATGCTTCCACATGAGTTTCATCTTTCCTGGCCCAATGGTTCTGGAGAAGAAGATTTTTAAAAGATGCCATTATTTTTTCAATAATTCATCATTATCTTCCCTTGGAAGAGGGCTTGGCCCTTCTTGAGAAGAAGATGAAAATGTGAAAAGTTTACAACAATGACAACAACAACAACGACAGACAACGGACAAATTTTGATCAGAAAAGCTCACATGAGACTTCAGCTCAGGTGAGATAAAAAAACTGCATCATGCATGAATAAAATTTTCTAAGCCTTAGTTCTTTTCTCAATAAGGCAGCAGAAGAAGAATAGGAACATGTATAACAAATTCCGTTTTCAATGTGTTTTGTAGGGTCGTATCAATATATCAATACCTATCAATATTCAAGATCGTGTCAAAAAATAACTTCTTATACGTATCGGACAAACAGTTTTTCTTCTAATTCTGATAAAAAGATGGGAATTTTAATCACCAAAGATTATATTTCACCTTTTTCAGTTAAAATTAATGAACAATTAAATAATCATTAAGGAAAACACACAGTTTTTATAATTATTGCAAACACATACATGTATATACAACTTGATTTTAACATGTTGATTTTTCAGTCATTAAAACTTTTAATTTGAAGTCAGTGTGTTATTTGTAATGACAATGAGACAAAAACTTTGAAATGGGTAATAAGACAATTGATTTTTATTAAATTCATGCATAAAATTATTTATAAGCTTTTTTTGGTGGACTGCTTGTTTAAAGAATTCAATATATTAATTGCTCGGATTGCTCCATTCGCATATCGCTTTAAAAAATATTTTAATAACTATCATATTGTATGGAAATTTTTTGCTCAATACTCAGCCCTAGTGTTTTGCAAATCTTCATACTTGAAAAGTATTAATGGAGCATTCAAACAAAAGAGTGGTGTCACAGGTGGATAAAAAAAAATAAATTTATTTTACTCGAAAAAGGATGTAGTCAGAATTATCCACACATTAAAATAGATAGATGATTTCCTGAAAAAAGTAACCTTTCAAATTTTTATTTGCAACTTTGAACTTTAGAATTAACTCCAAACCAAAGTGGGCTAAAATTACATTTTGTCCAAAAAGAGCAGTTTTTTTCTTTTGCATGAATGTTGGTCTAGAAGTCCTTTGGGGCAGACACATACTTAATTAAAACTATGATTTTATGTGGGGAACTGGAAACTAGTAAACTCCTCAATGATGAATTTTCTGCTTTATTATGTAATAATTATGTTTTATAATGTAATGATACAAAAGTAAAACAAGAGGCTCAGGGGCCACATCGCTCACCTGAGCAAATCAGCTAGGATAAAACACAAATCAGAACTGAAAAGTTCACTGAAGGGAATGGGGGGGGGGGCGCTTGAATTTTAATACTACTTGAGATTCTTCATATTAATACAGCATAAATGACTTTGCTGTTCTTGATAAAAAAGATTTTTTAAAAACATTTTCTTCCTATATACAAGATTTTCCCTATATACTCCTATGTAAGACTTTGATTGGCCATTGTGGCCTCACCCTACCCCCGGGGGTCATGATTTGAACAAACCTGAATCTACATTACCTGAAAATTCTCTATTTTTTCCAGAAAACTTTAATAGTCCATTCGGACTAATTAGCCACAAATTTTATTAGTCCGAATGAAAATGTATTAGTCTGAGACTGACTTTAATGTTGAACCCTGTTTTACAGTGTTAAATTAGAGCTAGACATAATTTATTAACAGGCTTAATTTTTGAAATTTTTTATACTATTTTGTGTATAACATATCCTCTCAATGTCTGAAATTTTTTTTTAACTGTCATCACTTTCTTTGTTCATTACCCTGTAAATGAGCCCAGCTTTCAGTACTTCTGAGTACTTTGATTTATGTATATTTCACAGTTTTGCAGAACAATGACAATGCCCCAGGGTTCTTGTCTATTAGAGTTTAAACTATGCAACAAGTTGGTAAAATGAAACTTGTAAAAAAAAATCCTTGAGGGGAGAGGGGGAATTGGGCCAAGCTTAAGAAATTCTTTGTTTGCAGTTGCTGACCTATAATTTTTAGTCTGGGTAGGTAGGTAGGCAATTTTTTTTGGGGAAAAAAAATTGTTTCCCGATTTTTGTTAGATAACATAAAATAGAGGTTTTAATAGGCCTACTATACATGAATAAGGTTTATCACTCTTGGTATAAACTAATGATTGATGAAGACAAAAATTGAAAATGAAACAGTTTTGATATCCCGTACGAAACAGTCCGGGCGGCTTAGACACGGCTCAGGCACGGATTCCGTCTCCAGAAACCCGTGCTTTAGCATTCCGTGCTCCTATGTAAAGTATGTATGGAAAGCCGTGCCTAAAAGTGGTCGAGGCACGGACGCGGCACGGGATATTGGCCGAAATATTTAAATGAGATCACAAAACCCGTGCCAGAAAGCCGTGCTAGTTTCCATACATGGACTCACGGATTCTGTAAACCCGTGTCTGAAACCCGTGTCCTTTTCCATATATGGAGACACGGTTTTTTGGAAACGCGTGTCAAAAAACCCGTGCCGTATACCATATAAGGAGTCACGGGATCTGTGCATTTGTTTAGATCTAGGTCATGGCCTTTAGAGAACCCCATGATGTAACTGTGGATGCCAAAATGGTGACTGAAACCAAACTAACTTCACATTGCTTTACATAAATGCTTAGCTTTAGAATTTCAAAACTTAAAAATCTTATATGAATGTGTCCATTTACTTTCTGTTCAAGATTAACAATCCATGCAAGTTTTTAATTAAGATTTTAATGATAATGTACAATATATTCAATTGTAATTTAATCTAGTAGCTAAGTTTGCACAATCTGAGAAAGAATTTAGTTTAAATAAAACTTTAACTAGCACAGTGATGTCACATAAAATGTATACTATAAAGGATTAGTGAAAGTCCAACGAAAGTCATTCAAATAAACCTATAGCTAAACTATTTCATCATTGTTCATGTCAACATTGCAATACGTACAGGAAGATCATGAAAATTGAAAAAATGACCTATTTATTCTAGATTACACTTACTGCATTCAGTTCAAAAGTGAAGAAATTATCCCAGACTGACATCAATACAATTCCAACTGACATCTATTAGTTAAATATCCTTTGAATAGAGCAAAAAGACACATTGACTTAGCTCATGACCATGAATCCATCCAATTTAATATTCAAATAAAGGAAGTTATGATTGAGCATGCTCGGTAAAAAGCCGTGAGATATAAATAAATAGCTTGAAGCAAAACCCGCCTGAGTTAAAAACCGTCTCCTTGGGACACGGATTCCGTGCCTCCACACGGATTTCTGTGAGTGAGGATTCCTCACATTCAGACACAGAAGCCGTGTCCGTGTCTTGGACATGCAGAACCCGTGCGGCTTTTTAAAAACCCGTGCGGATTCCGTGTCTTAGCCGTGCCCAAGCCGTGCCTATTCCCCCTCGAACTTTCGTACGGGATCCTGAAAAATTGGAGAAAAAAATATATTACAAAATGGCAAAAAAAAAAGTTTGGGTCGGGTGCATTTTCAGTGGGTCGGTCGGCAACTGGAAACAAACAATATTTTATTTTAGGCCTTGGTGGTTCCTAGCTGCAGAACTTTAGATCTCCGAAAAATATAACCTATTGAGAGACCGGTGAGCTATGAGTACCTGACCCATTGGCACCCATTTTAAAAACCCACCCATTCACTTTCCCAAGATTTAACTTTTCAATACTGAACTAATTTGTGCTTTTTCCTTGCTGATGTGCCCAGATGAGCATAGAATCCATAGATAGAACAGTGAATGTTCTGTCGTTAAAAATATGATATTGTCCAATGGACCCATTTTAACAATAGAATTTGTTCCACGTACGCTGTAGTACATGCATAGGAGCTGGTCGAAGTGAATAAACAGGGTACAAGTTATCACCCCTGTTTCTTTTGCTACAAAACATTACAAATACCGTACATGAGGCCAAAATAAAAAATACCTTTGTTTCCCCTAATGCGACCAACCCAATTAAATCGCACCAACTGAAAAGATTTTTTAAATAAGAAGATTTAATTATTTGTTTTATTGTTAACTAACTTTCATAAAATACAATTTCATCAAAATCAGTTTTTAGCAGAACGGCCGACATTGTTCTACTGTGATGTGTTGAAGAAAATGGCGCCAAGATGTGATTACTGAGAAAAAGTTCTTAATAAAACAACGGCGACGTCTCAATCTTATGCCTTTAGCTAACTAGAATTCTTCACTCTTGAAACCATTTTGGTAAAAAAAAAATTTACCATGACTAATTAAGAGTGTTTCGGAGGTGTCTTGGCCTCTCCATGTGAGTGAATAAATTTTCGAAAGGGACAGTAAACAACAAACAAACCTGTCTGTAAGTGTTGAATTTAAGGTACGTAATACATGGTACATGTAAGGCCTGCCTAATGAGCAGCTGAGGGGCCAACCTAGTGAACACATCATTCTATTTCACTGCATTTTATTGAGTTTGAGTTTTGATCTAATAATCAGTTTATCTATGTTCCTATGTTTACTATATGCCATAACGGAACCATAGGAGTTGTTGTAAATATGTCTGCATATTCATCCTGATAAATATAATTCTGATTTTCTTTCTTTAATGCCCTTATTTATGGGTTAAACTTGTGACTATGACATTGCATATACTTGTACTACAATGTAGCATTTTTATCATTTGTAGATTCGGTTTTGTTCAATTAAATATTACTCTTTACAAATACTGTATACAGGGTTATTTTCGCCCTGTCTTATTTTTGCCCTTTCACACTTGCAAACAATTTTGCCCCGTTTTAAATTCGCCCAATCATAATTTAGTTTTAGAAATAATACTGAATTCTTTGAATTCGCCCCGTTTTAAATTCGCCCAAATGAGAGTAGGGCGAGAGGGGCGAAAATTTCCCTGTATACAGTAGTTTTTTGAAATCATGATTCAGCTTCCTGAGACGCCATGTGTATTTTTCTTTAATTACGCACTCAAGATTGGTTGTTTCTTCGCTTTTAATCCCTTTGAGATTTGTTTGGAAGACATTTGAACATATCCCAATTGCTCAAAATTGAGACGTACTCAGCACTTTTTTGCCGTTAAGCAGTAAGGGATCTTTTTTGAGCCAGCATACTTTACGAGACTGGACATAAGTTTTTATGGTCCCTTTTAAAAGACTGTTTCCAACGTTACTTATTGGTATTTGGACCTTCGACTTAAAATTAGACACTTACTTCTTAACTCTAAAGCAAAATTCTCTAAAAACACTGCAAATAAAAAAAAAATGATTGTCTAGAAGCACTGGGGCCTGATGGAAGGTTTGAAAAAAATATACTCGTATGTCCAGTCTTTGCGTATTTGAGAATCTTGTCTTTATTCAATCTATATAAATGTACTCTGGCGTGAGATAATCTGAACAAGTTCAACTAAATAGCAGTTGTAAATTAATTAATCATGAATTTTCCTTTAGCATGTTTAAACAGCATATGTTTGATACCTAGCATTTTGTTCCCAAATTGTTTACCTACCTACCGACCCACCTTGAGAATTCAGGGTCGGGTTAGGGGAAACAAAAATATTTTTAATTCCGGCCTGATAACTCGTACTCTGTGCATTCAATACGACCAGCCCCTATGCCTTGAGTATTTAAAAGTTTATGGCTTCTTGTTAACAGTTTGTTTAAATGTGACCACTGTATAATTAAATTACATGTAATATATCAGTATATTGTATGGGAGTGGTCAAATTTAAAGAGGAAAAAAAATTCGTGATCTGATTACCAACCCCTATGCCTAACAGCCTTGAGTATATCCCAAACATAAATGTACGTGAAATAACTGAGGAAATTCGAAATGTGTACAGTAGTCCTGAAAGGACACCTAGATTAAAACTCTTCTTCTATATCATGTATATTGAAACAATGCAAAATGGTACATACCTTTATATAATCCTGTTCTAAATGAATGGATTGCAGTTAATTTGTCCATAATCTTCGTGAAACATAATAACATTCACTCTCCGCCATGCCTTCGTCATAAAATTTCCCTGGCTAAAACTCTCGAAAAATGACGTCATGTGATACGAGCTTGAATTTTAGAAAAATTGAAATAAAGGCTTTATAAGCTTATACAAGGAGAAATGATTATAATTTGATGTCTATTTTTTTTTTATTCGTTGATGCAGGTCAACATGGGTGGATCCAAAGGGGATGGGACCACGTATGGTACCCAACTCTCTTGACATAGAAGTATATATGTGCCTTATAATAAAATA